TGCTTCGCACTCCTACTGGGGGGGACTTCGGTCTTCGCGTCTTGACTCATCTTATTTATTTGCTACATCGCACTCGCTCTTGCGTTCGATCGCCCTGCGTTCGAATTGTTTCTAAGTATCGTTTTGGCTGGCTCCTGCTTCTCGGCTGCCTCTCCTGCACCCCCTTTCCCCCTCCTCCTCCTCCTCCGCCTCCTCCTCCTCCACCTCCTCCCATTTATTCCATCCTACCTTGTGCTCCCTCCTCCTTCTCTCGGGGAGACGTAAGACCTGGGTACGGGGGACTCGGGTTGGCCCGACGAGGTCGTCAAAAAAATGACGAGGCCGAGCCTGCATTTTGACGAGGCCTCCCGCTGCAGACATCCCACGAAACTCCTCCCCGTCAAAATCCGAGGCGCGGTCGTCAAAAAACGATGGCGAACCCGAGTCCTGGCAAACCCGGGTCTTGCGCTCCCCCGATCCTCGGCGCCCGCGATGGGCCTTGCGCTGCCGGTGGCGCATCGCGACGGGCAATGGGACAGAAGGGGTGGCGGGGTCCCCTGATCTTGCTGGCTCTTATTAGTCACCGCTGCTGTTGCCCCTCCCTCCTCGTCCTTCGCCACCACTATCTTCTCCCCGGGCATCCCCCCCCCCTCCTGTTCCTCCCCCCTCGCCATCCCAGACGACGACGAGGGAGGAGGATGAATTTGACGATGAAGAGCGGCTCGCAACGATGTCGCGAACGTCGTCTCTGCAAACACAGGATCGGCACGTCCGCGCCGCGACCTGGCCCTGAGAGAGAGGAGTGGATGAGGACGATGAGGAAGGATGACGACGACGACCACGAGGGCGATGAGGAGGATGAGGAGGAGGCGGAGGATGAGGAGGACGGGGAGGATGAGGACGACGAAGACTTAGGACCCAGGACCTAGGACCTCGGAAAAATGACGACGAGCTGGAGGGGGGCAAAAACGAGAAGGAGAGGGGGGGGGGAGAAGGGCGTGGCGGGGGGAGTCGGAGGATGACGACGATGACGACGAAACGACGAGGGGATACGGGCGATGAGGAGAATGAGGAGGATGATGAGGATGAGGAGGACGAGGAGGATGAGGCGGATGAGGAGGATGAGGAGGGGTGAGGGCGACGAAGACCTAGGACCAAGGAAAAATGACGACGAGCTGGAGGGGACAAAAACGAGGAGGAGAGGGAGGAGGAGGGGGGTGGGAGGAGTCGGAGGATGACGACGACGACGACGACGACAACGTGGAAGTGACGAGGGGACAAGGAAGATGAGGGGGATGAGGACCACGAAGACTAGGACCAGGACCTAGGATCGGGCAACGGGTTACCGGGTAACGTAACGAGAGGGAGAGGATGCGGGGTCGGAGTCGAACGCCGACTCGCCACCGCAGCTCCGTCGCAATCGCCCGCGACGCGAGCCGAGCTCCGCGACAGGGGAGGCAGTGCAAGACCAAGTGCCTCGCGGGCCCTGTGCATCTGTATGTGTCCTGCTGCTGCTCTTCCTCCTCCTCCTCCTCCTCCTCCCCCGGGTTTGTCCTCGCCCTGAGGACGTAATATCAGCCGCCGTGCCTCGAGGCACGAAGTGGAGTTTCCTCCAGGTCCTCACGCGTTCTCTTTTCTCTGGTCCTAGGGCCCAATTTCTTAAATTTCCTGGGCGCTCTCGGGCGTTCCTGGGCTGACTCGCGCGAGTTGTCCAGGGGCCAGGGGAGGCCCGAGGCCCGAGAATCCGCGAGGCCTCGTGGTCCAAGATGGCCTCAATACGGCCCAACAGGCCCCCAAGAGGCCTCAAGAGCGCTCGGGAAGGATCCCCTAGGAGGGCCCCAAGAGGCAAACACCATTGAGTTTCCTCATGTGTTTTCATTGTCATCGTTTGCGGCTCTTGCCGCTTGCATGTTCGTGCTTCCAACGCTCGAAGACAGACAGCCCGAGAAGCCCCTGAGACCACCCCAAGACGACCCAAGAGTTCCCCAAGAACGCCCAAAGACGGCCCAAGAGGGCCCCAAGACAGCCCCAAGAGGGGAACCGCGAATCGAAAATCCGAGCCTTCTGCCCCAGGAGGCCCCGCGCCCCCCAAGAGCCAGGAGGCTCCAGGACCGAGGTTCCCAAGAGGCCCTCAAGAGGCCTAAGCCCAAAAGACCCCCCCCCCCAAGAGGCTTCTAAAACGGCCCCCAAGAGGCCTTGAAACTGCCTCCAAGAGGCCCCAGAGCAACATCCCACGAAATCCCAACGAACATCCAAGAGTCCAAGAGGCCTCTGACCCACAACCTGGCGGGATGGGCCGAAGGCCACTCCATAATACCGGCAGGGACGTCCTACCTCCTACCTACCTACTTGACATTGTCGAGCGCTTTCTGGTACACATCGGGAATCTTGTTAGTCTCCACCCCGGCGAAATCGCGCATGGTCTTCTTGAGGTACTTGCTCTTGGCCTCGCTCTCCGGCATCACGAAGCCCTTGGTCAACCATGCTTCGTATTTCGTCGTCATGGCCGCCCTGATACTGGCGGTGCAATTAGCCAGCAATTCTGTGTTAGTCGGCGGTGGCGAGTCGCTGAACGTGTCGCCAACCTGCTTCACCAGTGCAACGGCCTCCTTGAGAGCATCAACTTTGGACTGCACCTGCTTTCCTGGGCCCTTCATGAGAGTAGACTGCGCGTGAGTAGTAAGGTTCTGTAAAGTGTTCTTCTTCTTGTCGGTGGTATCGAAGTTATCCATCCAATGGCCACCTCCCTTCATCCCGCCCTGGATTTGCTGGAGTTCCCCCAGAGCCTTTGCGCATGAGGCCTCCTTGGACTGCATATACAAGAACAATTTCTTAGTCCTGATGTCGGCAAGGCTGCTTGGGAACTTCAGAGTTGCATTGATGCGAGCGGCGAACCTCTCCACCGACTGCCATACATCCTCGGAGCTGTCCCCCGATGCTTGCGATAAGAACTGCTTGAGGGTTTGCTCCTGCTCGATCCAATCGCCCAGCACCTTGCTCATTGCTGTGACGGCCGTGAACAGATCAGAACTCCGGTGGTCATCGTCGTAGTTGTCGCCGATGGTGATTTCCATTGAGTCGGTGAGGGCTGCCATGTTCTGCGCGACCTCGAACGCTTTCGCTGACAGCTCGGGCGCGCGAAGTGGAATGTTGAAACACGACGAGAAATTCCCAATCAACGCGGCCATGCGTGACATCAAGGGCATCGGGCGCGCGGGCGCGGCCGAGTCACTGGCGGGCGGCTGAGTCGTGGGCGCAAGGAACATCGTCTCTAACAGCGAAGTCCCGAAGGTCAAGATCTGCCGGTTCGTGTGAGGATTCGGTGCTTCCTCATCGTAGCAGCCCTTCTCCACCAAAGCTGCCTTCAACTTGCTCAGTACCTCGCTGCTGATCTTGATCCGGGCGCAATCGTTCAGGAGGCCTTCGATCTCGAGGATCTCGTCGCGATCGGTGATGGCGGAGCCATCTGACGCCATGATCACCTTCACAAGGGAAATGGCGACAGACTTCTTCTCCACGTCTAAGGTCTGATCGAGTAATGTGCTAATGTACTCGGAGACTTCCGCATCCTGTTGGTCTCCGCTGTTGAGGTTGACCAATGCCTGGAGCATATCAGCCACCCTAGACCTCTCCAGCGAATTGGGCAGCTCAGACGTCCAATTCCGAGTGAGATGGGACAACGTCTTCTGCAAGAACGTCTTCATGGAATTGACAAGCTGAGCAGTCGCACCTGGACGCAATTCGGTGTTCAGACCAGGCAATTTCTCCACCATCGACAACATCTCCTCGGTGGCGCAAGTGATGTCTTCTGCCGAGGGCTCATCTTGACCATCTGTGTTCCAGACCTCGCGGAGCAACGTGGTGATCTCTGCAATCTTTGGGCCCTCCCTCAAGTCCGCGCTGCAACGCTTGGCGTAGGCTGTCTCCGCATCCTTCCAGAACGTACTCATCCTCAACGCCTGCTTGAGGCTCTTCCACTGCGGACAATGGGCCACCGGGCTGTCCTCGAGTTGCGTGGACCATTTCGATGCCCACACCTCTGAGACGTCCTTGACGCTGCAACCGTAAACCAACGGCACGGGGTCGAGCATGGCGAGGAGACCGCGGCATATCGGAACGCAGGTTTCCACAGCGAGCTGCAGAGGCACAGGCAACTGCTCAATCTCCGCGGCGGCGCCAGAATACGCGCCCATGAAAGCAAGGACGTAATTCCTGACCTCGATCTCCTTACCATCTTCGCCGGCCCCTTGAATCAATACAAACACGGCATCGCAGAGAAAAGCGCTGATCCAATACTCCTCATCAGGCTTCACGGCTGGAAATTTCATGCCCAACTTATCGGAGAGCTCGCCCAGGTTGACCTTCTCAAAACCCATCCTCCCTGTGACGCGAGAGCAAACGAAAGTGTCCGGCCGTTGCTTTGGTCCTCCTCCTCCTCCTCCCCCTCCTCCTCCCCCCCTCTTGGCCCTTGGACCTTCTGGCGCCTTCGGTTGCCATCTTGGGGGGGTGAGGGGGCGAGGCCCCCTCTGTCATCTTGGGGCCCTCCGGGGCGCCAAGGGCTGTCTTTCGGAAGCGGGGGGGGGGAGGGGTCTGTCTTGGGCCGCCTGGCCCTCTTGGGCCACCTTGGTTGTGGAGCCCTCGCGGGTGCCTCTTGGACTGTACTGGGGCCCTCCGTGGAGGCCTCTTGGGATCTCCGCCCATCTTTGACACCAGAAATCGAAAAAGGCGAGAACGCAAACATCTGTCACCTGGGGGGCATGAGTGATCTGATCCTGTCGAATTCCTGCTGCTGGGCTGCTGCCAACGCCGACGCATCCGAAGCCCAACGTGATCAATCTTCGGTCCCGACTCGCCGTGTCCATTCCCAAAGCACAAGACATCAACGGGTTGGCGTGGTCGAACGGCTCACTCGGGCCCCACGGCTGCAACATCTGAATGGCCTTCGTCATGTTCCCCACCGTGATCCCCTGGTTCACCTTGCGCTTCGTGATGGCCTTCGCCTGCTCGCGGGACAAGCAGTAGCCCTCCTCGATAATCACGTTGATGTTGCTCTCCACCTCGTGCAACGGCGCCACCAATATTTTCTCTGGCTGAATGGCCAGCCCTGCCTCCGCAGACTTGATGATGGCGTTGAAGTTCAGGTCGGCCTCCGCAGAGGCCATCCCCTTCTTGCTGCGCCTCGCCTGGGGGAAAACCAAACGCGCGAGCCCCAGTGGACGCTGTTCTCTGGTCTCTGAGGCCTCAAATGTCCAAAACCGCTGGCGCTCTCGAGCGCCCCCGGGTTCGGTCGCGTTGAGCGCCCAAGAAACACTTACAAGTGCCTAAGGGCGGGCCAAGAGCGCCCGAATACGCCCAAGATTATCCCAAGACGGCCTAAGATGCGTCCAAGAGGCCCCAAGAGCGCTCCAAGAGAACCCCCAAGAGGGCCCCCTCAGACGCACGTTGTGGATTCACGCATTTACGAGCTTCCGACGCTTTCACACAGCTGCCAAGACAGCCCCAAGACGGCCCACGAGGCCACCAAAAGCGCCCCGAGACAGACGCCCCAAGACGGCCCAAGATGCGCCCGAAACGGCCCAGGGCCCAAGAGGGCCCAAAACATGCCCCAAGAGGGGCCCCAGAGAGGGGCCGCGAACCCCGAGCCTTCCGCCCCAAGAGGCAGGCCCCAAGAAGCATCCAAGAGGCCCCGAGAAATTCCGAAGAGGCCCCAAGAGGCCCAAAAGACGCCCACAAGAAACCCCCAGAGAAACCCCAAGAGGCCTCGAAACTGCCTCCAAGAGGCCCCAGATCAACATCCCACGAGACCCCGACGAACCTCCAAGAGGCCTTTGCCCCGCGACCCAAGCACGGTGGCGGGATGGGCCGAAGGCCACTTTCGATATATTGCAAAGAAGCGTGGCCAGAGGAAATGTCAGGAGCCCAGAAGGGGCGGCCGGGGGGGGGAACCCTCGTCCCCCCCCCCCCCCCATCGGCGTCATTTGTTCAAAACTATGGCGGGCCTAGCACTGCAGGAGGATGAGGGGTAGTCGAAGAGGACAAATGACAAGTGTCTGAAACAGAGCCCGCTTCCCCTCCATGCGCCCGCGCTAGGACCGCCGCTGCTCGGCGGGGGCCACCTGGACCCGATGGGGCTGCGATGCTGCATCTGACGGGGAGGAGGCCCTCTTTCCCCCTTCTCCCCCGAACGCTTCCTCCCCATCCTCCTCATCCTCAACCTCCGCTTCTGGCTCGAACAACCGAATGAAGCATTTGATCAGATTAGCGCCCGCACTCACCCCAGACACCGCGCGGCCGAGCTGCGCCCCGTTGTTGATGCAGACCATCAAGAACTCGGCGTTCGCAACAATATCTTCGAACAACTTCTCCTTGCGGCCAGAGGAAGGGGGCCGCATCATGGTCCCATCCCGTGTCACTGCGGTACCCGGCGACCCTGGCGCCGCGCTGCTCATGGCTCCGGGGCCCCTCGAGCGCACGACGATGCTGGAGGTGCGGCGTTGCTGACCTCGCCCTCACATGCCGATTGGACCCTTCTGCATCTGGGGCTTGACCTTAGGGCCTGCTTTCGCCTTCCCCCTTGCAGCGGCCGCGGCGCCCCCAACACCGGCGCCCGGGTTACCGATCAAGGCGAAGGAAGGCAACGCGACCGCCATGGCGGACCTGGCCTGCGCGTTGTCCTCTGCGGCGGATCTGTCTGAATCGGAATCGGAGCCCTGAACTCGGGCCACGTCCTTCCCATGCACCTCTTCCGCCTCCTTCTGCCATGCCTTCTCGGCCACCTCACGGTCCTTGATAATCTTCGCGACGACGGCTTTGATTTGATCATACGTCTGCACCTTCTTCCTGTTCCCTGGCTGGAGGTCGGAGGCCCTGGAAGCCGAGACCTGCTGGTGGGCGGAGCCCTGCTTGTTGGGCCGTCGGGCGCATCTCTAGGGCAGGCTTAGGGTTTAGTTTGGGGGCATCGGGGCCTACGGGGCGACGGCCCTATGTACGCCCTAGGCCCTAGGCCCTCAAGGCACTTCAGCGTCTGCAGTCTAGTCTGGGATCTAGAATCTACACAGGGCCGGGCCTGAGGGCTGAGGGCTGAGAGCCTAGGCCCTAGGCCCAGGGGGGCCTGGCTCAGGCCCTGGGCTCTAGACTCGCCTAGGGAGGGCCTAGGGCCTAGGGCCGAGGGCCTAGGGGTGCCCTCGGGCCCAAGGGTCACTAGAATCGAGCCCACGGTCTCGCAAGGACCCGCCGTCCCCCAGAGCACACTCTGGGCTCGAGTAGTCTCCAGCCTAGGGCCGAGGAAATAGCTCGAAGTAGAAGCAGCAGGAAGCAAAAGCCAGAACATCCGATGGCCGCCGAGCCCTGCGATGCGCCACTCGCGACTAGACAGTAGACCCTCTAAACTATATAATATTCGCTCCCTCCTCCATTCTCCTTCGCACCTCTGTCGTTCATACTTTGCCTAGCCGCCTAGCCGATTAGGTGAGGGCCTAGGGCCTAGGGCATGGGCCTAGAGCCTACTACCGCCACCTCATCCCCCCTTATCGCTGTCGTCCTCATCTTCTCCATCTCCTTTTCAACCTCGCCGGCGCACTCTGGTGCTCTTCCTTCGCCGCCCCGTCCTCCCCCCGCCCGCCCCCCCCCTCCCCTGCCCCTCGCCACTCCATCCTCCTCCTCCTCCTCCCTCTCCTCCTCCTCCTCCTCCTCCTCCTCCTCCTCCTCCTCCTCCTCCCCCTGCTCTTGCACTTGTGCCCAACCGCACCCTCATCCTCAGCCTCCTGCTTCTGCTGCTGCTCCTCGCCCCCATCCTCCCTCCAGGACCTCCAGGACTCTAGCGTACAGTGTGTGTACTGGGTAGAAGATCCCACGCCACATGCACTGTGCTACACGGCTTATTTCGACGACACCGAAATCAAAATCAATGGGCCTGGAAAGGCCCTCCTACACTGGCCTACACTGCCTAGGGCCTAGGCCCCAGGCCTGAACTAGGCCCGGACCTAGGCCCAAAGATGGGCAAGCGCTGAGGGCCTGAGAATGAGGGGGAGAATGAGGAGGAGGAAGAGTAGGAAACGTTCGGGTCGACGCCGTCGCCGAAGGTCAACAAAAGGGCCAATTGGGCCTAAGGGTCCGGAAACCGCGGCCAGGGCCTTTGCTCGGGGGAAGGGCCGGGCTGGGGGGGTGGGAACGGGCGAGGGCGGGGCGGTGCTGGGGCTGTCAGGCTCACGCTGGGAGACAAGAGCAATCGAAGTTCCAAGCTTTAGAATGGGGAGGAACGGTTGAGGCAACTGGGCACCTGAGAAACCAACCACTTGTACGTATCAACGGCGTGCTCCTGCCTTAACTGCTCAGCCCCTGTGAGGAGACTCTGGGTCAAATTGCTCTGCAGGTCCGAATATATTGTCAACGTGGTGTGGCTCACCGGGCTGTCGGCCGTCTGGCGAAAGATAACAGCGTTGGACATGACGGAGTTCTCGAAGCCAGGGATGTCCGTGACCTTCGGCCACCCCGGCCCCGGCCCCGGCGGCGGGCGCTGGGGCTGGGGTGAGGGGCAAGAGGAGGACGGGGAAGGAGGGAAAGGGTCAGAACGAGAGAGGGAAAAGGGGGAGGAGGGGGACGAAGAGAAAGTGTGAGAGGGGCGGCAAGGGGGACGTGGATGGGGGAAGAAAGGGAGCGGGGCGGGCGGGTGAGGAGAGGGTGGAGGGGGGTCATGAGAGTAAAAGGACCAGGGGGGAAACGGGAAAGGGAAGGGAAGGGGGACAGGGAAGGGACTGGGGATGCGGGGGAGCCGCCGGGGGAAGGGAGGAGGAAGGAGGGAGAGAGGGAGGGGGGGGAGAAGGAGAGGGAGAGGGGGAGGGAGAAGGAGAGGGAGAAGGAGGAAAAGAAGGAGGAGGTGGGTGGAGGAGGAGGGGGAGGAGGAGGGAGAAGGGAGGAGGGAGGAGGGAGGAGGGAAGAGGATGGAGGGAGGAAGAGGAGGGTCTTATTTATGCGGGCGCGAATTCGCGATTTTTCGCCCCGAGGAGGGGGAGGATGAGGAGAGGGAGGAGGAGGATGGAGGGAAGGGGGGAAGAGGGAAGAGGAAGGAGGAAGAGGGTCACATTTGCACGGGCGCGAATGCGCGGTGTTTCGCCCCGATGGGGGGTGGGGGAGGAGGAGTAGGAGGACGAGGGAGCCAAACAGACGAGAGGCGGATCCATGAAAATCTTCCGGTCGCTCCTGGCACGGCGGCAGGCCCCTCCCCAAGCCGCGCCGCGGAGGGGGTCGGAAGACTTTTTGATCAATTCGGGGGCGGGGACGGGGGGGGGGAGTATTCATCCGCCGCCGTGCCTGCACGGACGCGGCGCATTCGAATGCTCCTTTCGCGCCCCTTGGGGGTTTTATTATGGCCTCTAGGGCCATAGGGCCTAGGGCCGACCCCCCCACCCTACCAGCGCGCGCCCCTCGTAGACCGCCCCCCTGAAAGTATCTCCCTGGCGTTCTTTTCGGCTTCCAGAGGGCCAAGATGGCCTCCAAGACGGCATCCAAGACAGACGAGACCACGCCAGAACGGCCCAGGATGGCCCAACAGGGCTAAAGAGCCTCCCAAGACGGCTTCAAGACGGCTCAAGAAACTCCCGAGACGGCACAGAGGGCCCCAAGAGACCCTCCAAGAGAGCCTGAGGAGGCCAAATTCATTGATTTGTTATTTGTGTTTGAAAGATGTTGATGCTATCGTGTGCATGGGCTTCTGAGCGCCCAAAACGGACCAAGAGGCCTTCAATATAGCTCCAAGACAGCCGAAGAGGCCCCCCAGGAGCGCCCCAAGTCGGCCCAAGAGGACCCCAAGATCGCCCAAGAAGCCCCCAAGACGGTCCAAAAACGCTCCAAGAGGGCACCAAAGTTGACCCAAGAGGCCCCCAAGATGGCTTCCGAAAGCGCCAGACGGGCTGAGACGGCCCAAGAAACCCCAAGAGGCCCAAAGAGGCCCTTAGGAAGCAAAAAAAAAAACTTCCGAGCGCGAGATCGCGACCCTCCCCAGCGCAGACCACTCGCTGAACTGCTGCGGGGCGTGAACTCGACCTCCTACCGCGCGGGCGAAGACGAAGTCGAGTTCACGACCCATTCCAGTTCAGACTACTCGTCGGGATTACGTTGTTTCTACACTCAGCCTTATTCCTGCCGCGCTGTTGCACAGGCACGGCGGCGGGGGTTGCCGCGGGGAAGGTGGATATTCACCAACTGTACGGGCGTGCACTTACGTAAGGAACGGCCAAGAACGGTACACATTGAAAAACACATGGGATCCCCCATGTTGTTCAGGCCTGGCCACCGCTCGGCCCGCTAAGAAGGGTTGATCGGTAACAGCCAGGAGGAGGAGGAGGAGGAGGAGGAGGAGGAGGAGGAAGAGGACAAGAAAGAGGGAGGTACAGGGCATGGGGGGGGTCGCCGGGCAGGGGCCCGGGTAGGGAGGGAGAGGAGGAGGGGGAGGAGGGGGTTGGCATAAGGGCGGGGGGGGGGGGCGGGCAGGGAAAGGGGGAAGGGGAGGGGAAAGGGAAATCGGGTTTCGTGTTTCCTGCGTGTGTAGTCTACACACTACACTGCAGTCACTACACACTGCGTCAGGACCCCCCCAGGGGGGGGGGGTCCTGACGCAGTGTATTAAGTGCATCGAACTTGCGCTGCCTTTGATATCGCCCGACTTCCCCCATCTGCTGACCAAATTTCAGGGCGATGCTCTGGGCGACGCTTGCTGCGTGCCTTCAAATGTGAATGGGCAGAGACGTGCGCAAGTCATGGTGTTGACAGGCATCGCATAGCATCTGGAATCTTGCATGGGATATCACACAACACTAAACGTCACTAGCTAGCAGCTAGACTCTAGACAAACAGTGGAGCACAGCCAAACGTTAGTAACCGTTAGTACGAAAGTACGTAGTGCGCGGCGAAGCAGGTGAGGCAAATCTGAGCCCAGAGACAAAGCGAGCGTTGAAATAGGGGGTCGAATTTTGTTTCGTGAGGGGCGCGTGGGCATACCAGGCAGAACGGTAATGGCAGCAATCTGCGCCTTCGACGGCGCGGCTGGGGGGGGGGGGATCGCGCGCGCGCGCGGCGGGCGGGGTGGGGGGGGGCGGGGGGTGGGGGGGGGGGGGGGGGGGGGGGGGGGAGGGGGAAAGGGGGGGGGGGGGTGGGGGGGGGGGGCGAGCGACGCTCGCAAGCTGCTAGGCGGGGCGGCGGGGTCGGGGGGGGGGGCACGAAAGAAGAGAGCGAGTTTGGGTTTTTGTTAGGCTGTTAGCTAGCAGCTGAGCAAGCGTGCAGACTGGCGGCCAGTGGCGGGCATGGTGTGCACTGTGACCAAGAGCCTGGTGTGTGTGTGTGTGTGCGTGCGTGTGTGTGTGTGTGTGTGTGTGTGTGTGTGTGTGTGTGTGTGTGTGTGTGTGTGTGTGTGTGTGTGTGTGTGTGTGTGTGTGCGCGCCGTGGTGGTGCGTGCGAGAGAGAGAGAGGCAGATTTTTAGGGGGGGATTGTGTGTGTGGCGTGTGTGTGTGGTGCTGGTGCGTGCGTGTGTGTATGTGTGTGTGCGCATGTGTGTGCATGCGTGTGCGTGTGCGTGTGCGTGTGTGCGTGTTGCGTGTGTGCGTGCGTGCTGTGTGTGTGTGTGCGTGCGTGCGTGGTGTGTGTGTGTGTGCGTGTGCGTGTGCGCGCGCGGGTGTGTGTGAGCGCGGGGGGGCGGGTGGGCGGGGGGGGGGGCGGGGCGGGGGGGGGGGCGAGGCGGAGGTTGGCCTTGGTAGCAAGTGGCGATCGTGGTGCTCCAGCCATGGCTCAGACTTTGGAGAAAAGCCTGAACGCATGAACGGGCGCGCGTGATAATCGAATTCCGCCTCAGTCGCCGTCGAGAGCGCGAGCTTTGCCCCCCCCCCCACACACACACACACACACACACACACACACACACACACACACACGCGCACGCACGCACACACGCCCAAAAAAAAGCGCCGCGCAATCGCCAGCCATTTTGTCAACAAAAACCGACCCCAAATGTTATTGCTATGTCTCTCCCCGCTGGGTCGGCCGGCGAGCGGCTTTGCCGCGCGCCAGCCGAAGCTGGCGTGGAACGCAGCTGGCGTGGAAGCCAGCCACCGGACGCTGGCGTGGAAACCAACCGAGCCTGGCGACACTGCGGGGGCAACGCGCGCTGGCAAGCGCCTGCCAAGACGCGGGCCAACGGCGCGCCCCAAGGGCCCCACAGCACGGGCCACCCGCTGCCGCCCCGTTTCGTTCCAGCCGTTCCAGCCCGCTCTGGCCCACCCCGAGCTGATTTCTGGATTGCTCTGGGCTCTGGGCTCTGGGCCCCCGCCCGCTCTGCGCCGGTCAGAGCTTTCCCGCCGCCCTTGGGCCTCGGACAAATCTCCGGGCCCGGCTAAATCGGCGCGGGCTCACCTGGAAATGAGCCCAAGGCAAACCAAGACGAACCCGCGCCGCAAAGCGCGGGCCCGCCGGCCGGACGGGCCCGGGTTCTCAGGTGCTGCCGGCGCGCCCCGGGCGACTCTGGGCGCTCTGGGCCGCGCCGCGGCCAAGCCAAGGACCGCGGCGCTGTTGAGCCGCGGTCTGACCAACGCAGCGGCAATGGAGAAGGGAGAAGGTTGTAAGGCTTGCTGGCCCTGCTCCATTTGAGCAGCTCGGGAGTGCGCGCGCGCCTTCTGAGCCGTCTGAGTCAGCGACAGCAGGCAGGTGACCCACCTCCCACTCGAAGTGCTACTACTACTGCATGTAGCTGCACCAAGGCCTTTTCTGTGGTGTATACCTACCACAAAGACCGTGGGCCTGGTGCATGCCTGGGCAGGCAACGGCTGAGCCCGCGTCGCTCCGACGGCGCTGTCGGGCCGGCCTTTTTCCGGCTGGCCGCGCGCGCGTGCGCGGGTTCCAGGTGCTGCCGGCGCGCCCCAGGCGACTCTGGGCGCTCTGGGCCGCGCCGCGGCCACGCCAGCGCCATCTGCCACCTGGGCCCGCCGCATGCCGGCGGAGTCTGTGGAACGTTGCCCCGCGGCGGGCCGTGCAGCGCGCGCCGCTGTCGAGGCTCGGCGCCGTCGAGGCGCTGGGCGACGCGAGGTGGAGCCGCCGCATTTCGATGCGGATTATTTATTCTTTTTCGACGCGGCGGCGCTCGGGTCCTGCCTGTGAGCCATCCAGCTCGAGGAACTCGCCCCGCGGCGGGTGGGCAAGACCCCGATCGAGGTCGTCGAACGACCTGCCCTTCCCGAGCCCGGTTTCATGGGCTCCTGCGCCGCGGAAGTTGGAAGCAGGCTGCCAGGGTGGAGGTCCATCCTAGGACTCGCGAACTCGGACCGAGGTCCCGCCGTTGACGCTCGCCAGAGCGTGGATCGTGGCGCTCGCGTTGCCTTCGAAATGGCTCCACCGTGGATCGATTGCCCCCCGCTACCCCTGAGCCTCGCCCTCCTGAATCGCGAAGCTGGCAGACGAGGCGCGCGTCGTTCTGGCCAGGCGCCGCCTGCGTCGCG